TCCCAGCTACTTGGGAGGCTGAGGCAGGAGACTCGCTTAAGCCCAGGAGTTGCACTCTACCCAGGGGGATAGCTTGAGGCTCTGTCTCAAAAATAAATAAATAAATAAAATAAAATTCTATTTATTTATTTGCCTTGATGTTAAAATTACAGGGGGATTTTAAAATATTTTGTAGAGTTTGGGGGCCTCGCTGTGTTGCCAGGCTGATCTTTGACTCCTAGGCTCCTACCATCCTCCTGCTTCAGTCTCCCAAAGTGCTGTGGTTACAGGTTGGGCCACACTGGAAAATTTAAATCGCTCTGGCATTCACCTAAATCAAGTCCTCCTTCCTTTTTTTTTTTTTACAGATTCTCACTAGGTCGTCCTCGGTAGAGTGCTGTGGCGTCACAGCTTACAGCAACGTCTATCTCTTGGGCTCAAGCGATTCTCTTGCTCCTCCCAAATAGCTGGTACTATAGGTACCAACGCCCGGCTATTTTTAGACACGGGGTCTCAGGCCCAGTGACTCTCTAGCTCAGGCTGGTCTTGAACCTGTGAGCTCAGTCAATCCACCTGCCTTGGCTTCTTAAGTATTGGGATTACAGACATGAGCCACCGCGCCCAGCCGAATCTTTCTAATTGCTCTATTTCATTCTCCTCTCTTTTTTATTCTTTTCTTCTCTCCACTCTTGTCAAGAGCAGTTTTTTTCCCTCCTTGCATCATACAAGGTAGTATTGTGATAATTAAATCCCCAGGTTTCTGTCTCACTCTTCTTCAAGTGCACACTTTTCCAAGGGGAGACTTTTTATCTCCCCTAAAATTAAGTCTGGTTCTTTCCTGACTTCTTTCTGTAAATATTAAAAGAGAAAACTATGCAAAATCTTAGCTCAGAGCTTGCTTGGAACGTTAATTTCCTTTCTCAAAGATGTAATACAGGCCCCGTGGAGGCTACAAAGATGAACGAATCTTCTGTTATATAAACAAAACGGAATATGATAAAGGCTCTAAGAGAGGTGTTCAGAGGATCACAGATACCTGCCATTGACACGCCTACGAAATTGCCTCTGTGCCTACGTATCAGGTCCTGTGACCACAGACTTGCCAAGTCGTTACTGCCTGATGACCTCGCTCCCCAGGGCCAGCTCTGCAGCTTCTCAAACACATATCCGAGAGCCCTTACTCGCCAGGGTGTGAAACTACATCTCCCAATCGGCAGCGTTGTCCCCTTCCTTCCTCACTTTCCCAGCCCCGAGCCATGGCAACGCGTGACGTGGGGGTACCGGGAGCTGCGGAACAGCGGTACCGGCTTCAGTTCTAGCCTACCCGGCCGTCAGGACGGGAGCAGGGCGAGGAGCCGCGGCCTCGCTGCCCCCGCGGGTCGCCTGGGATCCGCTGGGCAGTCGCTTCCTGCCGCTCCTCTTCTGGAGTGAGCGGGAGCAGCCAGTGTCAGATCCCAGAGGGCTAGGGAGTGTCGCGCGCATGGCCTCGGCCGGCGCGCGGCGGTTCTCGACTGGGACGGGCGCGGCTGCCCAGCGCTGCGGAGTCCTCTCGCTCCGCCCGGGCGCGCGCCCGGCTCCGCCTCTAGGCCCTTTGCGACAGCCGCGACCAATGAGGTGAGCCGAGGCGCGGACGTCCCCTCCGGGCAACAGGGGGTCGCTTAGGACCCCGAGGTTCTGCGGTGGAAGGTTGCAGCCCTGGGATGCAGGCGCGGCGGCAGTCGGCAGCGTCGTGCCTGGGGACCTCATGCGGAGCTTTGGAGGATGCTTTTGCAAGTTATACGAGAAAGGATGCCCTCGGGGTGGGTGTCCAAACACTTCTTGGTTCTCGTGGGCGCTCTAGCAATAACGGGCCTGGCGGGGCCTAGGGCAGAGACTCTTACTTAGAATCTTAGCTTAAGCAGTAGCGTAGCCTCAGTCGAAGGCTACTGGAGCTTCGTGTGCACTCTGCTTTTTCCCATCCCCACCCTCAGCTCTGTCCTCAGCTGCCCTCGACCTTTTGCACTCGTGATTGCTTGGCCAGAGAGCCTGGCCGGCGCAGCAGGTGCTGGGGGGAAAGCCTGTCTGGACGACCTTCCTCTGTGGTGCACCCGTCTTCCTCTTCACCTGAAAATGATAAAGGAATATAAAGAAGGGTAAGGGTTTCTTTTCTTTGCTTTTGGCCTTAGGTTTCTGATCTCCTGCAGCCTCTTCTTGCCTAGGGCTGCCCAGGTCTTTGTGGCTGAAGCTGGCTTACCTCTCAGCCGTTCTTTCATGGGCTTTGCTGCCCCCTTCACCAACAAGCGAAAGGCTTACTCGGAGCGCAGGATCATGGGGTGAGCATCCTTCCCCGCTGTGTACCCTTTTATCTCCCCTTTCCCTCCAAATAACCATGTGCAGGCTAGAATGTAAGAGTACCAGTAGGGGGCAAGATTAATATCTGGCTCCAGATCTATTGTTTATCCTTTTATTCTCTCTCCTAAACTTGATTTCCCTCTTTTTCAGTTTCTGTGCATCTGCGAGTAAGATGAGGTAGAGGGTTGAACTCTACCTTAAATTGCTATTTCTCTGGTGACCTGACTTTTAAAAAACGTGTTCTAGGCTTCACACCTGTAGTTCAGTGGTTAGAGCACTGGCCACATACACCGGAGCAGGTGGGTTCAAACCCAACCCAGGCCTGCCAAACAATAATGACAATTACAACAAAAAAATAGCTGGGTGTTGTGGCGGGCACCTGTAGTCCTAGCTACCTGGGAGGCTGAGGCAAGAGAATCGCTTAAGTCCAAGAGTTGGAGGTTGCTGTGAGCTGTGATGCCATAGCACTCTACTGAGGGCAACATAGTGAGACTCTGTCTCAAAAAAAAAATGTGTTCCAGGCTGGGAATAGTGGCTCACACATATAATCCCAGCTACTTGGGAGGTTGAGGCAAGAGAATCGCTTGAGCCTAAGAGTTTGAGGTTGCTGTGAGTTATGATGATATGGCACTCTATCTAGGGTGACAAAGTGAGATGGTCTCCAAAAAAAAAAATGTGTTCTGAGCACAGTGTAATGGCTTTTTGAGAAAGTCTTGCTTTGCTGTTCACTGTAGAGTGCTATATCATCATAGCTCACAGCAACCTCAAACTCTTAGACTAAAGTGATCATCCTCCTGCCTCAGCCTCCCAAGTAGCTAGAACAACAGGTGCCCACCACAACACCCAGCTATTGATACTGGGGTCTTGCTCTTGCTCAGGCTGATCTTGAACTTCTGAGCTCAGGTGATCCACCCACCTCAGCCTTCCAGAGAAATAGCTAACCTAATTTAGCACTCCTACATGCACGCAGCTAGGCTGCTTAAAGTTTTTTTCCTTTAATCCTCACAACAAACCTACAGATCAGGTACTATTATTGCCTCTGGTGTATAGCTGAGCAATGGAGGCACAGGTGATTTGCCTAGGGCTCAGTCACATTAAAATGACTATTTTTGCCTGCCCTGTCAGGAGATTATAGAGCTGGGATCGGATTCTTGCATGATCACTAGTAAAACTGACAGCCTGTACTCCTTAGATGTTCCTCTCCCTTATGATAAAAATAACGAATGCCAAAGCATTCTGCAAAACATAAAGTAATGTTAGCATCATGGAGATTTGCACAGCTGCTTTTTTTTTTTTTCCAGTTTTTTTGGCTAGGGCTGGGTTTGAACCCGCCACCTCCAGCACATGGGGCTGGTGCCTTACTCCTTTGAGCAACATGCACGCCTGCCTGTTTTTTTTTTTTTTAAGAGATAGAGTCTCACTTTATCTCTTTTGGTAGAGTGCTGTGGTGTCACAGCTCACAACAATCTCCAGCTCTTGGGCTTAGGCGATTCTCTTTCCTCAGACTCCAGAGTAGCTGGGACTACAGGCATCTGCCATGGAACCCGGCAATTTTTTTGTTGCAGTTTGACCAGGGCTGGGATGGAACCCGCCAACCTCGGTAATATATAGGGCTGGCACTCTACTCACTGAGCCACAGGTGCTGCCTTTATTTTTTATTTTTTTGTGATAGTCTCATTATGTTGCCCTTGGTAGAGTGCCATGACATCACAGCTCACAGCAACCTCAAACTCTTGGGTTTAAGCAATTCTCTTGCCTCAGCCTCCCAAGTAGCTGGAACTACAGGCATCCGCCACAAGGCCCAGCTATTTCTTGGCTGCAGTTGTCATTGTTATTTTAGCAGGCCCGGGCTGGGTTCAAACCCACCAGCTTTGCTGTTTGTGGTTGGTACCCTACTTACTGAGCTACAGGGGCTGAGTCTGCACAATTGCTTTTGAGAAGTCATTCATCCAGGCTTATTTGGGATCTTCTAGTTCCTGAATGTGTATGGTTAATGGATAAAGTTATGACCTGGGGACTTAAGGCAGAGGAACCTGACCCAGCTGGCAGTTCCTTGGCCTGATTCTTCTTCCCCTAGGTATTCAATGCAGGAGATGTATGAGGTGGTGTCCAATGTCCAGGAATATCGCGAGTTTGTGCCCTGGTGTAAGAAGTCTCTGGTGGTATCCAGCCGTAAAGGTCACCTGAAGGCCCAGTTGGAGGTTGGCTTTCCACCTGTCATTGAACGTTATACCTCTGCAGTTTCCATGGTCAAACCTCACATGGTCAAGGTAAGGCCTGATTGCGATTGTCTAATAAATTTTTGTGTTCCTTAGCACTGTCACACTAAAAGGGCTATTTTGGCCTTCGTTGTAATTACTGTATCTCCACATGACAAATACTTTTCTGATAAAATATTAGAAGAGATTGAAGATGGCTTTCAATTCCTTTGTAGTGCCTCCTATACTTAACTAATGTTATTTAACGACCTGATTGTCCTAATCTAGGCTGTTTGTACTGATGGCAAGCTCTTCAACCACTTAGAGACCATTTGGCGATTCAGTCCTGGTATTCCTGCCTACCCCCGAACCTGTACTGTGGACTTTTCGGTGAGTCAGGAGGCTGTGTAGTATAGGACTAGGGTTACATGTGGGGCAGAACTTTATGACAGGATTATTCTTAAAGTAGAGCTAGCACTTAGCATTTCCCAGGTCCAGCAGTTTTCACAGGTCTAAACTTGTACCAAACTTGTACTCTGTGCTCAGCCTTGTTAGGGATCTCAGGAACTGGATGAGGGTGGGGGAGGAAAAGGAACTGAGGAAGGGCATCCTTGCATTTGGCCAGAGATTATCCAAAATGGCCTTGAAGTTTCTGACTGTCTCTTACCCATTCCCAGATTTCCTTTGAATTTCGTTCTCTGCTGCACTCCCAGCTGGCCACCATGTTTTTTGATGAGGTTGTCAAACAGAATGTTGCTGCCTTTGAGCGTCGGGCAGCCACCAAGTTTGGTCCAGAAACAGCCATACCCCGTGAACTGATGTTCCATGAAGTGCACCAGACTTGAGGCAAAGGATTTTTCCTTAGCCTTTCTTCTCTCCCCTTCCTCACCCAATCCTCTTCCTTGGCTTGGCTCCTGTTCCTATGAGAGGAGACTGTGTTCATAAATACTGTTCCTCCCCTCAATTCCCCAGAAATTGGGTTCTATGCAGGGGGAAGGAAAAAGTGGGGGTGGGAAAATGTGACATGCCCAGGAAAGGGTCATGCCCATGCTGAGAGCTCGATATGACTTCAGCCTTTTCAGTGAATTAGAATCAGGACTGTGTGGTTGTCTCTGGTCCCTGTCAGGGCACCTTAGTTTCTGATTACAGTAAGATAGTAACTTCTCTAAGAACTAAATCAATTGAAATTTTCTTCTGGCACAGAGGTACTGAGTAGTAACTTCTACACTGCCTGAGGTTCCTTAAGAGGCAACCTGCCCCCAAACCTGAAATCTTAAGGCCTCATCTAAGAATATTTCCATGCTGCCTGGCTAGTAGATAACAAGGGGCTTTCTCACCATCAATGCCACAGGGCCCAGGAGACAAAAAACAAATCACTGAACAGAAGTGTCTTTGTTCTCTTAGGTTGTACCTTATTCTTCCACTTGATCTGAATTTTTATAAAATTTCAATAAATTATGACTGTGAATTTGGCTTTATTGTATTGTTTCTTGAAGGAGTATGTAGATAAAGCAGAGTAGATGAAAGTCATGGCTTCCTTCCCTGGGGGAAAGTGTAAAAAGGCCTCTTGGACATAGTGTCCCTGCTAACTATAGTAGCATATGCTGCAAGCCAGGACCCAGTACCCACCCCCTTGTTTATTTATAGACTTTTTCAGAAGGTCACTTGCAGCAAGAGTCTTAGGCCATAATCATCTGATCTCAGACCTCCCATATATTTGATGCCCTCAGGACCACTCTTATTTTGGTGACCTCCTTAAGAAAAGGAGAAAAGAAGAGTAGGCACACCAAGCAGCACCAGAGCCCTCTAGTGGCTTGGGTCCTGAGCTAGCAGTCTACAGCCCATTTGTTACGGGTGTACTGTGGCTTGTTCCTTTCACCCACTGGGCTAGACCATTTTTTTTTTTTTTCTTCTTTGAGACAGAGCCTCAAGCTGTCACCCTGGGCAGAGTGCTGTGGCATTACAGCTTACAGCAACCTCTGACTCCTGGGCTCAAGTGATTCTCCTGCCTCAGCCTCTCAAGTAGCTAGGACTACAGGCACCCAGCTTTTTTTTGGTTGCAGTCATTGTTGTTTGGCAGGCTGGGGCTGGATTCGAACCCACCAGCTCAGGTGTTATGTGGTGGCACCTTAGCAGCTTGAGCCACAGGCACCAAGCCTAGATCAGTTTTTTTTTTCTTTTTTTCTTTTTTCTTTTTTTTTTGAGACAGAGCCTCAAGCTGTCCCCCTGGGTAGAGTGCCATGGCATTACAGCTCACAGCAACCTCCAACTCCTGGGCTCAAGCGAGT